CTGCGGAGCACAGGCTCTGGACACGCAGGCTCAGCAGCCATGGCTCACGGACCCAGCAGCTCCACGGCATGTGGGATCTTCCCGGACCGGGGCACGAACCCGTGTCCCCTGCATCGGCAGGCAGACTCTCAACCACTGCGGCACCAGGGAAGCCCCACCTGTTAGTATTTTTAGTGACTGATATAATTTTCAAACAGAGCTTTTGATCAGCATGAAATAACAAATTTATCACAATAAGATGATGTAATTCTAAGCAAAACCAAAGACGCTGGCCAATGCTGTTAGTGTATAGAGCCTTATTAGCTGCAAAAATACAGTACTTTAAAATACTAAAACGTTACATCACCTATTACTATCTTCACTGACCCCCTGAGGGCCTGGGAAGCAGTAAATACATAAATTTAAAGGGAATCTGAAGTGTTACAGCTCCTTTTTTAGATAAATAAATAAATAAATAAATGAATAAATGAATGAATGAATGGAATCTGGCTCCACATCCAACTACCAATTGACAGGAAATACAGAGGACAGAGGATCATGTTAAACAGCACCACAGGGATGCATTCAGCAAACTCCAGACTGGAAACTTCTACAGGATAATCAACATGATTTCTTCAATAAATAAATATCAAGGAGAAAAAGACTGACACAAACTCAAAAGTCTTTTAAAAGTCTTATCAGCCAGGGCTTCCCTGGTTGGGCAAAGAATCTGCCTGCCAATGCAGGGGACACGGGTTCAAAGCCCTGGTCCAGGAAGATCCCACATGTTGCAGAGCAACAAAACCCATGCGCCACAACTACTGAGCCTGCACTCCAGAGCCCGCAAGCCACAGCTCCTGAAGCCCGGGCGCCTAGAGCCCGTGCTCTGCAACATGAGAAGCCACCGCAATGAGAAGCCCGCACAACACAACAAAGAGTAGCCCCCGCTCACCGCAACTAGAGAAAGCCCACACACAGCAACCAAGACCCAATGCAGCCAAAAATAAATAAATAAAATAAATACTTTAAAAAATACTTAAAAAAAAAAAAATCAAAGGGTGCTTTTTCAGACCAATCAGACCAATCACAGCAGAGAGAAACCAAGGTGAGAATGCTCACTTTTATCTTTCCGGCTCCTGTGAAATCCAAGCTGAGAATCTTTGTTGAGTCCCATACCCCAAACTTTCGTAACATCCTTGGTTTTAGAGGACAGCAATGTGAATCCATAACCACAGGCAGCAGATGAAATCTGAAAAAAAATTCCCATAAAGCATTGACTGATTTGTGACATCAAGTTTTCCCAGCAATAAATGACAGGTTGTTTATCCATTCCAAGAACACACACTATTACTATAGCAACTAACATTTATTGGATGTTTACTATGTGTTAAGGGCTTGATATGTACTATTTCGTTTTATCTTCACAATCACCCAATGGTCTAAGTATCAAATCATCCCCATTCACCAAGACACAGTCTTGCAGAGTAGTTAAGTTGAAGACTACCTTATTTTGAATCTTGGCAAGACCACAGGGTTTACACCTGGTAGACCCTTACCAGCTGTGTGACCTGAGATAGACTGCTTAACTTCTGTGTCTGTTTCCCTCTATTTAAAAGAGAGATAACAACAGTGTCTCTCTTATTGGGTAGCTGTGAGGACTAAATGAGTTAACATAGTTAAAACCCTTAAAGTAGGGACTTCCCTGGTGGTCCAGTGGCTAAGACTCAGTGTTCCCAATGCAGAGGGCCCGGGTTCGAGCCCTGGTCAGAGAACTAGATCCCACATGCCGCAACAAAGATCCCACACACTGCAGTGAAGATCCCGCGTGCCACAACTGAGACCCAGTGCAGCCAAACAGATAAATAAATAAATATTTTTTTACAAAAACCTTAAATAGTACCTGACTTAATGTAAGAGCTATATAAAGTATTTATTATTATTGGTGGTGGTAGTAGTAGTATTTGGTAGATAAGGAAATCAAGGCTCCTGGAAGATTAAGTAGCTTGCCTAATACAGTCTCACAGCTAGTAAGTGGAAGCTGTCTGATTGCAGAGTGCATGTTCTTAACCCTTATGCTACACTGTTACACTCTCAAACCACCACTGCCATGAAGAAGAATTACTATTACAGCTACCGTGAATGTAACACATTGACAGGGCCAGTGTGTTTGCTGGGTGTTTTACCCACACTGTTATCAATCCCCACATTCACTGATCAGATGAGGAAACTGAGGCTTCAGTGGGGCTGGAAGCACACCAAAGGCAGCCTGGTTTTAGGGTCAACCCCCTCTCCATAATACCCAGGGTGGCCTGAGGCAGTCCTGGTTTACACCTGATGTCCCAAGGTTCACTCTCAAGCAAATGATGACAAATTACATGGTCACCCTGATGATTCCCCACTATCTCTTGGTTGTTTACAGTTTACCAAAGGCCTATGTAGTCAGTCTCAGAGACTACATGTAAATCTAACCTAATCCTGATGAAAATGCCAGCTTTCCATTGATAATGAACAAACGTAAGGTTTTTCTTTTTTTTTTAACTCCAGCATTTCTTGAAGAAAGCGAGCTAAACACTTCTTCTAAATTTGATGACTTGTTTAATCAAGTCATCCAAAAGTTATATATCCCTCCTTCTGTCTTGTGACATTTTCCCTCGTAACATTCACATGGAAGGTACATACGTGTACACTTGTATTAGGAAACAAACAAACAAACAAACAAACCCTCAGTTCTCCGGCCTTCTGGAATGGCTCCACCTCCACAGAAATGACCCACTGGGGAGGGAGGAGCCAGCCCCTGACCACACAGCAGGAAACATAAAAAAGTTAGTCCAAAACTGATGCCCAGCACACTATGATTATTCTCATCTGTTTACTCAACATTCAACAAATACTTGGGAAGCACCTACTGTATTATTAAATCTGCTAATATGTGAAAAGGCTTTGAACAATACCTGACACAGAGTCAGCATTAAGCAATGTTTTTTACAATAATATGCTAGAAGGGGACTTTCCAACTATGGTGGTGTGAAGAGGTTAGTGAATCTCTCCCCAAACGACAAGTATAAAACTAGAGAAAACTGCAAAAACCAAACCCACAACCATTTCAGGGCTCCAGAAGTCAATTAAAGGCAAGTAAATCAAGAAGTTACTCATGAAGCGACGCTAGAACTACAAGCAAGAATATCAGGGCTTTGTAGACCTCTTGTCCTGGGCTGCTCCATCTACCCCAGCTCAGGCAGCACAGAAGTTAAAAAAGGGCAGAGCTGGCCATGAAAACCATCAGCTTTGTTACCAGAAAGGACAAACTTAATTTGGGGTAGAGGGTGAAAAGTCATACTCCACAGCAAACTCAGCAGG